TAGGCTATGTGTTGTTGGCAGACGTTTCTGACCTGCCTAGTCCCACAGACTTCCAGTCCAAAATAAACACACTGAGCCATCAGCCAAACAGTTTTTAATTAATTTAAGCCTTGGTGTGTTTATGTGGGACTGAATGGTTGTGGAACAGAAACTTCTGTTTACAGCAATGAGGCTGGGTAACTTAGCAGTTCTAATGTAACACTAAAAGACTGGAATATTGTCAGGGAGCTGCTGCCTAGTCTTTGTTGGAAGGTAGGTTCCAATGTCAGTGGATTCCTCAACAGTGATGCCAACAAGAGGCTTGGCTTACAGGCAAAATCAGCACTGGTTTTCCCTGTGACCTGTTTAAGTAATGAATGTCCCCTTGGGGGAAGTGCTACCCACCCAGTAGGATGTTCCCCTCTTGTTTCATCTCTCTAGAAAACATTCTACAGACCCACCCAGAGGCATGCCTCTTAGTTGATTCCACATCTAATCGAGTTGGTAAGCAAAGTTAACCATTAACAACATTATCAACTAGAACCTGGACTCCTCTCTTGCACACTTGTCATTTTCTCTTCCAGTCTCTAGTGGCCTTCCTGGTTAAAAAAATTGTGTGTGTATGTGGGGGCGGCACTACAGTTCCTCATATTTAATATCAGTATATAGTAGGAAAGTTTTCAGACTTCCCTCTGGAGAGATTAATGTTGTATTCTTCTATTCTTTTTGCTCCCATCCATTTTCTTTTCTTAAAATGTCTTTATTCTCCATTTTTATCTTCACACAGTTCCCAGGCTGTTAAAGACAGGTCCCTGTCTATGTTCTGGGCTTTCCACTAACATCTTCTCACTTTCTACTAAGGGTGTTAACTCCATTTCTTTCATTTTCCTTCCTTTTACATAAGCATCTATTATTGTTCTTTCCCTATTTCGTTTTGTTGATCTTTTTCTGACCTTGTCAGGGTTTGGTCTCTGTTGGATTTATCTGTATGCCAGGAACACTTAGTAGAGCCCTAGCATTTTGTCACCATTTAACAAATGTCAATTAGAAAGTTGGATTAAGTTAGTGCAGCCTTGGTTATGGTTTTATAGGAGAAAACAATCCAGAAACAATGTTCATTTGTATTTTTGCTTCAAAGCTAGGGTCACTTAAGTGTACTCTCCCTCTTGCCTAAATGTTGTACATCAGAGTGAAAAGACAAAATAACTGTTCCTGTAGAATATTAGAAATCAATAGTTTTCCCGTAGTGAGGCTTGAGATATTTGTTTATAAATATATATTTTCTGGTTAGGGTTAGTACACATTACACAATTTCTAAAAGATTCAACTTCAGGAATTTTCTAAAGAGGCAGCATTACATATGGCACCAGTAGTTCTTCCCTTGAATCAACTGAGAAACAAATTACATGTAGCTGACCAGGAAATGTATAAACCAGAGGCAATGCATGAACAAAAGTAGATGGCTACTGTGGGCAAAGAAAGCAACAGAAGAAATATTAGAAATAGGAGACAGAGCATCTGAGGGAGGGAGGAGGGGAGAAATCACATGAGAATCCCATTCTACCAACCTGAGATCTCACTAAACATGTATTTCATGGCAGAACAATGAAGCTGTTAGATTGCCACAGTGATGGACATGGGAGATCTTTTTCATTCAGGTTCTGTGGTCAAGTCCACAGAGAGATGCTAGCCGTTATGGCCATCAAGAAGTCCCATAATAGACCACCAGTCACATGTGCAATCAGCAAGTGTTTAAAAAGAAACAAAGAAAATAACTGCCAACATGTTGGTGTGACAAATGAGGCTCTCAAGCCCCTGTTAAGCCAGGTTGGCAGGATTCCTGGTGAGGAAAGATTAGTCTGGGGACTGATTGGTGGTTGGCTCCAGTGGCAGGGCAGGGAAAGCTATCTTCAGCTAGCAGGAGGCTGCTGGGCCTCTGCTGATTGGTTGACTCTGAGCTGTGGTTTTCCTGATCACTGCTCAGCTCCAGCCAACTCCAGTGAACTGAAACTAAGGCCTGGTCCCTGGCAGGGGCTATTAGAAACCTGTGCTGACTCTGGTCTGGCTCCTCTCACTAGCTTCTGGAACTTACTGGGAATCTCTCAGTGCAGATGATGCTCTGAAAAGGCACTCTTGGGGTGTCTGATAAATAGCTGTCTATAGTTAGTGTCACCTGACTGCAAGTAATAACAAGCCCTTGTTCAACTGATATGCTTGCTGCTTCTGGCTCACACTATTGATACTGCTTTAAATGGTATGAAATAGTGCTGTCTGGATGTACCCCTTTGACTCCTTGGCTTCTATACATCCAACTTAAGAAACACCTATAACAAAAAATACATTTATATATGTATAAAATTTATTGTATTTAAAATATAATTATTATATATAAGTGATAGGTGCTATGATATAATTATGTGGCTTATATATAATGTAAAAGTACAAAGCTTCTTTATAATGACTGCCAATGCCTCATGAGAAAACCAATATTAGATTTGGAAAAAAAGAAGAGAAATAATGGCATCCCCATGAGTTCTCAAGCAACATCATTTCCAGACAAAATATATTATTAAACATCTGAATTCCTTTCTCCCCAACTTAGAATTATTAAAAATATTATTAGTTTTACTCCTTTATAAAAACAATGGTTTTATTTCATAACCAAGATTATCATTAAACTAATTATACTTCTGACCTTGAACTGGGGATTCCCCTTCCTCTGCTTTCAGTGTCTTGGGATTATAGGTATAAGCCACCATTGTTTTTATACCTGTCCAGATATAATTTGTTTGGCTTGGAGACAGAAAAACCAAGTGTAGAAAACTTTCCAATCATAAGAGATCCATAGCTATAAAGAGATAGCATTCGTTGTGTGTGTATATTATATATGTGATTGCCTCAGATAGAAGTTACTAATGCTGTGTCATGGAGTCAAGTAACTAAAATATCTAAGTGTCACTGGCTGAAATAGAAAGAAAAAGAGTTTTGTGAATGACCCAAAAGAGAACTAAAAGCATTTTGGGAAATTGTGGAGTCAGGATAGTAGCACAAGTGAGTCACCTGACTTGTGTAGTCCATGTTTGTAGCTGGTTTATACATATACGGGTGCTGTGGGGTAGTCAAATGGTGTAATCCTAACTTAAGAGAAATTAATCTTTCTGACTCAATTCTTAGGAACACACTTGCACTTTGGGGAGCTGGAGATACAGTTCACCAGTCAAGAATGCTTGCAGCACAATCATAAGGACCCAACACCCATGTAACAAACCAGATGTTCCCTGCACACCTATAACCCCAGTGCTTAGGTGCAGTAGAGACAGGGTCACCGGAGCTGGCTGGTTTCCATCCTAGCTAATGAGGTGAAAGCCACCATTCATAGAGAGACCAGGCTTCAGAGGGTAACTGGAGCTGGCTGGTTTCCAACCTAACTAAGAAAACAAACAAGTACAGGGAAAGACCTGGCCACAGAGGACTAGGTGAAGAGTGATAAAGATAACATTGATATGCTCTTCTCATCTCTAGATATTCACAGATGCTGACAACACATATGCTAGCATGCATACATGCTTGTGCATGAACATACATACATACATACATACATACATACATACACACACAAAACATGAAATTGACATTTCTGCCTTATAAGCATTATCAGTAGCAGTATGTAATAACACATAATAGTTGCATTAGCTTTTCAGTCTCCTGGAAAAATCTGTGTCATATAAGAAAAAGAAATCAGGAACAATAACAGTATCGTATGATTAGTATTGGTGACAAAACCATTGTTGGATTCATAGGCATATCATTGGCAAAACAGTTCTTTATGAATCTTCAATGCTGTTTAGATCTATAATTTAGAAGAAGAGAAAGATCAGTACCAAATCTTGTACATCTTCAAAACATATCATTATTGTTACTCATCTCCCCCTATGTGTTTCATTAGTCTTTATCGCTCTGTAATTATTGTTTGTTAGTTTTGCTTTTTATTTGGTTATATTGCCTGGTAATGATGAATATTAGATTGCTATATTCTTAGCTAGTATTAGTGGAAAGTCACAACTATCTTACGGTTATTTCCTTCTCCTCACACCCGTTTCTTGTAGTTATGAGACAAGTGTTAAGCGCTGGAAGCTGATGAAATCAGAAAAGGGGCCAAACACCTCTGACCTCTGTGTCATGAAGTAATTCAGGTTAACAGCCACATAGGATGTTCATTGACTTCAATTATAGTTCTACAAAACTGTGACCTGTGACTCCCAAATATATGTAGGGAAGATGGTCATATGTTTCCAGCTAATTTCTCAATGATTTGAATGAGAATGAGGTGGGGAGCTGATAAGAGAGTTCTAAACAACAGAAGTTTTGTTCTTCTGGCTTCTGAGTCTGGGAAGTTCTAAGAGTCAGCAGTTCTCAACCCTTTGGGAGTAGAACAACCCTTTCACAGGGATCACCTAAGATCAACAGAAAACACAGATGTTTACATTATAATTCGTAACTAGGAAAATCATAGTCATTAAAGTAGCAACGAAATAATTTTATGGTTGGGGGTCATCACAGCATGAGGAAATACATTAAACAGTTGCCTCATTAGGAAGATTGAGAACCACTTCACTAAGTCAAAGTGCCAGAGGATGTTGTATTTACTGAATGACTCTTGCTTCCTAGACCATTGTTTTAGCACCAGTGTTCTCAGGCAGCAGAGGAATGAGACAGAACTCTAGTGTCTCCTTTCAAGCCCTTTCACTACCACTACACTTTATAAAAGCCTTTTGTGTTGGGGCCTTGGCCTTCAGATGGGAGATATGTAGATTACCTCCACTTCCTCACGACTGCCTCTCTCAGTTTTTCAACAGTTCCAACTGATTTGGGACTTCTTTCGTATGTTACCATGTATTCTGCTATAGTTGTGTTACACATTTGGTGCCATGGTAGAACATTTGGTTCCCAGGCTGGATTGCTTAAAGCATAGACATTAGTGACCATACCTAATTATAAATGTGTTTGATTTTGTTTTTCAGGTTTTTCTGAAGAGTGACCGAGTGGCCAGAATGGTTCAGAGTGGAGGGTGTTCTGCTAATGATTTCAGAGAAGTGTTCAAGAAAAACATAGAAAAACGTGTACGCAGCTTGCCAGAAATAGATGGCCTGAGCAAAGAGACTGTGTTGAGCTCATGGATAGCCAAATATGATGCCATTTACAGGGGAGAAGAAGACTTGTGTAAACAACCAAACAGGATGACCCTGAGTGCCGTGTCTGAGCTTATTCTGAGCAAGGAGCAGCTCTATGAAATGTTCCAGCAGATCCTGGGTATTAAAAAACTGGAACACCAGCTACTTTATAATGCATGCCAGGTAAGTGCTGTGATGTATGCCCTTCCCATATTTGATGAATGGAAGGAACATAGAGTTTTTTCACCCTATGAAGAAGTGTTTCACATTTATAATCAGTTTTCTTGGATAGTTGAGTGAGATTCATTTTTAGCAAATCAAAGAGTGAAATTTGAAAGCATGTTTGTAAGAAGTTGGGTGTGGGGAGAAGAATGTCAGTATCATTAGCCAGTTGTGATTGGTCCCATTTGCCCTATTTAAGGACATCAGGTTTGTGCCTACTAGGCATATACAGGGTGAGCCCTGAATAGAAAAATGACAATCCTCTGCCTCCTCAACAATGTCCCCAGTATATAATAAGCCAGTGCTCCTCAGTGCAAAATAATTTGTCATAAAGGTGTAATTGAAGTAATTGAAATTTCAGTTTTTTTCTTTAGCTCAGTTTAAAAGAAATGAATTGAGAATGATTGTTAAACTGGCTAATTTAAAGCAATGACAGCTAATAATATATTTTTCTTAAATTGTAATTCTAGTCGTGAATATGTAAAATTGAATAAAATTTCATATGGTTTTCATTTTTAGACTGAATGATTTGCCTAATAATGTATGCCTTAGGTTTATTTTGGCTGTATACATTATTTAACTTATCCCTAATATGCAATTCAAATTAACAAAACTCTACCATTTTAAAATTCATTAAGAATTGTGCTTCTATATTATATACATATTTATTTTTAATCTTTTGGAAAATTTATTTCCCTTAATATCTGCATCCTATTCATGTTTCTTACCTTGCATCACTACTTTGTGAATAATTTTAGATTAATAAATGAAGAATTTGTTAATAATAGATTAGTATGTACTTTAACCCTACAAACAATTCGTGTTTTCACTGTGTCATTAAGCCAGATGGCGGGTTGATAGTGGAGGATGACTGTAAAGCACCATCTTATGTATTAACAAATATGTACAACTAAGACATTCGTGTCATAGTGTCCACAGTGGTTCTTTTATGCAGTTTTAATGTTGATGAGCATTAATAAGTGATAAAATTGAGACCCAATCATCCTATAGCTATTTAGTGAGAATTTATTTAAAGTCTAAATTAAAGAAAACAGGCTGAACAAGCTGATCTCCATGTTCCAAATGCAGTGTAGTGGCAGAACCTCCCAAATAATTATCTATACACTCCAATGTACTGCTTATGTAGGCCTATAAAATACAACCCTACATATTACGGGGTTATGGTTATTAACACAACATTTTGTCTTCTTTATAAGAGTGTTCTTTGAGGTTTGAACCTTATAATTTCTCTCTTCTGTGACTTGCAGCACACAATACTTCTATTTCAAATCACTGATGTAATAGTGCATTTATATTTAAATTCAGTTCTATCAGAATTTGCCTCGTGTAGACATGTCTATTAGTCTGTTCTGTCATTCTTGTAGAATTGCATTCTTTATCATGATGTTCTTTGGTGTTTCTCTAAAGCCTACTTTGTCTTAAACTAGCTGCTGCTTTCCTATGATTAGAGTGAGCATGGTGGATATTTTTCCTTGTGTTGACTTTTAACGTATTCTTTAATTTTAAAGATGCAATTGGGTTTCAAAGGTTGATTTGTTTTGTTTACACCCACTCACATAATGCCTGTGTTTAAACCACTCATAATTAAAGTGATTACTATAGTTGACTTAAATAATATAGCCCTTGGTTGTTTTATCCATTTTCCTTTGTCCCTATCTCATTTTCTGTCTTTTGTAATTTTTAACACTTTTTGTGATTTCATTTTTATATCTTTTTTAGATATAGCATACATGTTCAATGTTTAAATATATTTACTAGGTATCCTAAGTTATATATTGTAGATCTTAATATAGCCTAAATCCTCCCTCCTGTGACACTAGAGGACTTTAAGCATATTTCTGCTCCCCTGTAATTCAGTGTTCCCAAGTCTTTCCTCCCTTCTCATGTATTGATATAATCATCTTGATTTTGATATACTATAGTCATTCAATATGTTGTGACAATTATTGTTTTAAACAGTTAACTTTTCTGTTTTGAATAAGACATTCTTAATTACTGTAACAATGCTTTTTTATTAGTATTAGCACATTCTGTTGAGCCTTAAACTTTTCCCTTTGAAACTAGCAGCATATTAATAGTTGTAATTAAATCTCCTTGTTGGACAGTTGTTTCTGGCTCAGATGTTTGCCTTGTCCCTTCTCAGTCTCTTTTGTGCATCTTGGATTATTCTAGAAAGCAGGGATGTTATGTCAGGTGATAGGATCTAAGATAATAAGACCTCCTTCTGAGAACTGTGCTTATCTCACTATGCATTGGATTATGCCTGTTTCCTGTGGCCATACATACTAGAAGCTTCAAAATTCTCCCTGTATGCTGTGTCTCTGTCTTTTCTTTTTTATTGACTAATTGAATTTGATAATTTCATACATGTTCATAATGCATTCCGTTTTCTCTCTTCCCCACACTTTCTTATTTCCCTTCCATCTCTAGCAACCCCCTCCATCTTTCTATCCCCTTTCCCAGATTCATGACTTCTGGTTTTGTTTATGATGCACTTAGTTTAACCAGAGCCATGGTGTGACCTTTTTGCAGATCTATTTCTCTTAATTTCTGTATCCTATTCGTGCTCCTTATTTTGCATCATTGCTTTTACTGTGAATTGTTTTAGATGAATAAATTAACAATTAATTAATAATGAAGTAGTATGTCACCTTAACACTGCAAACAATTCACACACTCGTCATACTTGTTTTCACTGTGTCATTATGACTGAGGGGATCATCAGTGGATATAACGGAAGGCAATGATTTGCTCTCTCACCAAGTTTATCAGCAGGAGGTAGTTCAGCAGTGAGGGATAGGGTTCCATAACTTCTCCTCTATCCATGCTTGTTTTTGTTCCTATGTTCCTGGATTCTGAGCTTTCTTTGCACTCCACAGAGAGTCTGTATCTCACATCTGTTTTGGCTGTCATCTATTGCTATTTTGGAGATGTAGCCATAGGAATGTGCTGGAAAGGGGAAGGGGTGCCTTTTAGTCTAATTAAATCATTCAGTGGACCCTTGTCTCTGAAATAGAACGTTTGTGTTTCTGTTTCTTGTCCAGGGGACTCATTCCTTCCTACTTCAGAATCCCTTATTTCTTTCTATCTACAGACATCCTGATGTATCTTCCTAAGTTCTGCTATCCTGATCACTGAGCTTTTGTGGTTTGGTTTTGTTTCTCCACTAGATAAGACAGGAAAGCCACAGGTGATGGTATTGTTTCACTGAAGCTGGAGGAAGTGTTCAACATTTCCTAATGGTAAAAATTTTCCTCAGTTGGGAAAAGGATCTGGTAAATTTAGGAAAAGCCTTCCACCCTTCCACGGCTACTTGGGACACTCTCTTGAATCGTTATTACTAAAAGGGAAGACAGTGAGACACCCTTAGTCTCTGTATTCAGCTGAGCATCTTGTCCAAGGTACCAGGTAAGCAAGCATCCTACCAAGCATCTGGTGCTGCTCATCCAAATAGTATGCCTTTCAAATTTGTATCTTTTCACATTTTGATTAATGGTTTCCCCAGATTTGGGGGTCTCTAAGTCTAAGAAATGTCTTTGTCCTTGGTGCATGGGCTGGCTTTTTGGAGACCATTCCCTATGGTCTTGCTCAACCTTGATGTAGCAGGGAGTGGCTTGGTCCTGCCTCAACTTGATGTCCCAAGCTTCACTGACTCCCTGTAGGGAGTGGATTGGGAGGTAGGGTGAGGAGAAGGTGGGGGGAGCTGGAGGAAGGGAGGGAGGAGGAACTGTGGTTGGTATGTAACATGAATTTAAAATTTTTAAGTAAAAAAGAAACGTCTTTGATTTTTCTATTTGTTCAACCTTTGCTTTTAAGAATGAGAGTGATAATGGTTCAAATTCCTCATGTGTTTGAACTGAAAATGGAATTATTTGAGTTCTTGACTGAATAAAGGTTTAGAGGTTTAGAGATAGGTCCTTAAAAATAAGTTTAAAAGAATCACAAAAACCTACTCTCACGGGGGCAGTTTTCCTGGGGAATTACAGTGGTTTTGCAGAAATTATGGAATAAACTAAGAAAGCAAACTAGATTCTCTTTTCTGCAAGTGAAGTACAGACACACATGCCACCTCTTGTGTGTGTGTGTGTGTGTGTGTGTGTGTGTGTGTGTGTGCGTGCGTGCATGCATGTTGGTTTTTATTTGTTGTTGTTGTAGTCTTCCAACAAAATTTGGAAAGGAAAGAAAGACAGAAGTCACAGAAAATACTTTGTGATTTATTAGAAAGGAATATTTTGGAAAGAGAAATAGCAAATCTGGTTTTAAGGAGCGCTGAGGGGGCCTCATCGAAGCAAGCTGCTGGAGCCTGTCCTCAGGCTTCCTGACACACAGGAAAGGTTTACACTCCTCATGGTGTCACAGTCTTCCTTATGTTCCTTCTTGCATAGGCTCTTGGATTTGCCAGCAGTGGTCCAATAGAAAACAATAAAAACATATTATATACCTATGGTCAGAGATTCAGATTAGAGAGCTGTTCAGGAATATGCGGAGGACTCAAGCAGCCAGTAGGTCTTCGTGGTCTGGAAAATGGAGACAAAAAGGTCTGGAATGAGAAAAGACCTTTGCCGTGACTGCCCCTGGCACCTGCTAGAAATCACCTAGTCAGATCCGTAGCCCTATAGCTGCACAGTAACATCTGGCTTAAAATAACAGGAAGCTAATGTTTAAAAAGCACAGCCATTAACATTATTTCTGCTCAGAACCAGCACCTTAAAAATTAGCTGATTAAGGCATTGAGGAAGCCCCTAAAACTCCAAGTTAGGACATAATACATACCATGCTAAAGCTATGAAGTCTGGGATCGTTGAAAGAAAAGTGTCTATTTAGATGTTATTTTTAAATACATATGTAATATATACTTGTCATAAAATTATTACAAAATGGATTCTAAGAAATAATAATCTAGGTATTACCATAAATTAAATATCATATTATTAACACAA